GTTACGACTACATTTAATAAAATCAGAGCATATTATAGCTGGAAGAGACATTAGATTACACAGTCCAACCTCCACAAATTGTAGTTGAGGAAACTGAATGAATCCCAAAGAGAAAAAGTGACTTACTTGAGGTCACATTATTAAAAACAGATAATCCATGATATACATCGATTCATTTCAGTCAATCACTCAATCAACAGAATTTATTAAACCCACTATTCGTGTGGCCATGGGCAAATCATTTAACTTCCCTGTTCCTTAGTTTCCTCATCTACAAAATTGGCTACATGGCCTCAGAGGTCTCTTCCAGAGATAGCTCTATATCCTATGTGCCTGGCATGTACTATACAAACATTTCTTAAGGGCTTATTTGAGCAAGACTTTAGGGAGATAAAGACATAACAGTCCTTGCCCTCAGTCAACCTAACCTACTTCATCTTCTGCCCACCTCTCACTATGCCAGCAGTGGCCTTAGGGAGCTGAAGACCAAAGATGCAGCAGTGGTCATGTAACATCAGAAGCCCAGAATTCAAGACACCCAGAAAAGGAGTTGTCAAACATGTGGCATCGTTGCATTTGTATGACTGCTAAAACTCATTCTTAAAAATCATGGGATAAAAGATTAGTGGGCATTAATTTAATGGATAACTTGTAAGTCAGAGATAAAGTATTTCTCAAACCAGTTTTAAAAATGAATATAATGAGTCCAATCCATCTCACATGACAAATGGTCTACAGGGGAGAGATAATTCCTTTAGCATAAAATATTAACTGTATCTTTTTATAGCCCAATTTCTTAAATATGTTTGAGCCGTCACATTTGTAAGTTTAACACTCATTAAATTTTTACAGAAATGTAAGACTAAGTCCCCAAACAGTTGCTGATCTGTATTGGCAGACCATTTCCTCACCATGAGTTCTCTATGAAATAATATGCCCAGAAAAAACAATAGTGTTGTTATTACCATTATCATTATTATTATTATTATTATTATTATTATTATTATACCATTACAGATTAAAGTCATAGAAATTGATTAAAGCAAAGTATTCTTGCATGGTACCAGATTTGGATTTGTGTTCATTTTGGATTCAGTCAAAGGGCTGCATGTGAGGACCTAGAGGGCCACGTCTGGCCTCGAGGCTGCAGGTTCCCCAGCTTTGGTCTAATGTATACAGGCCTAGATCTAGCTGGTAGAGGCCTGGCATGGTGGTCAAATTCCACCTCTGATACGTGCTAGCTTTGTGGCCACTGGCCTATCTTTCATTTCTCTGTGCCTAGGACTTAACTGGCTAAGTAATAGATGGTTTCCAGCTTGAGGGGGTAGAAGGAAAGTCTCCCATTTGTAGTGCCTTGCTGAGGAAATCATTGATCCTTCCTTTATTTTGCCATGGCATTTGTAGCAAACCTGTCTGCTCTTAACATTATTAGCTTCTAAATTTGGGGTGTTTTTTTACATTTGTATTAAGTTTTAGATGACTATTTCATGATGGTTCCACATTGTTTCTCTTTAGTAATGGAAACTAACAAGTTTGCATGAACTCTTTGCCCTTAGAAATGGTACCAGCCCTAGAAAGAGGATCAGGAGACCTGGATTCTGGTCATGCTTCTGGCACTCATACTTGCTGCGTGACCTGGGGTCAGATACTTCTCTCTCTGAGTCCTTTTTTCCTCGTTTGTAAAAATGAGAAATTGAAAGAATATCAAAGAAGATAATGTATGTAAAATCCTTGCGAACCTTAAATCTCTCAGTGTAAGCCCTTATTATCTTGAAGGCCTTTTTAGCTCAAGATTTTGAGTCCAGGAGAATCAGCAGCAGTGTATTATCATATAGCAACTAGGACAGAATTACAAGGCAGTACTTAAAAAAAAATCTCCATTCTTGGCCTCTTTGCCCTTCATTTCACAAATAGGAATGTGGTTTGCATTCCCCTGAAAGCATATCAATAGTGATGTTTAGAGACGGCATGGAGGTTCAGTGTCTGTTCTGTTAGTGTGCAAACGTACACCTTAACTTTAAAGAACCCTACTTCTGGGAACGTCAGAATAAATCACATCTTTACCTTTGAAAGTCTGTTAGTCCAGCTGTGGTGTTTTTTAAATTCTTAAAATAAAACTTCAGTTCATTATTTAATCATGGGGTATTTTAAAGGATTGGGGCTGTAAGCGGACTGGAGCATGCTACCAATGATCACTTGTGTGTATGAAGTACCATGAAAGGTCTCCCTCCATTGCAGTAGAATGAACAGACATGGCAGTAGGCCAGGGATGTAGTGAGAATGAAGAATGATGGAACGAACTGACATCCGGGGTGCTTTGTCGATACCTCCCCAAAACGAAAGGTCCTGTAGGAAGGCCGCTTTGGGGAGATCCTCCATGCGTGATCTGTGGAAGGATCATAGCATCATACATTTAGAGCTGAGAGGGACCTCAAAGGCCATTTGTACAACCTCCTTATTTTATAGATGAGAAAAACTAAGGTTAAACTAAGGTCACACATGTAGTAATTATCAGAAGCTGGCTTCGAGCTTAAATCCTCCTTGGCAAGAATTCTATGGAAAGAAAAGGCACGGATAGGTTGTGATCTGTTCTGTCAAAGGAAGTAACCATAATAATGAGATCATAAACCCCTTAAAGGAACCATTGAAATACTTTATGAGATTATTTAAGGAGATTAGAGAGAAATAATAGTATAATATTGTTATATTATTCTCTCCATATAATATATAGCATATATAGTTATACTATAATTTTATTATACTTTGTTATATTACAAATATAGTATAAATACTGTAGGTATGGTATTTATATATTCTATATTATATTACTTATATGTAGCATATTACTATACATATATATATAGTATAACCATTCTATATGTGTGTATACCTTCTATAAAAATCTTAATCATTAAAAAAATCATTGTGGTTTAGCTGCTTAACATTTGTTTGTTAATTTAGGCCGCTGACACATTTTCAAAGGTGATTAAAGTAACAAATTTATTATAAATTATGGCTTTTGTATAGCATGGCATAGTGGGGAGAGAACCAGCCTTGGAGTCAGAAGGAATAAGAAAAAGCTTACATTTCTATAGCAGTATTTTAAATTTTGCCAAGCACTTTACATGTATGACCTCACCTTGATTCTAACAAGCCAGTGCCATAGGTACCATTATGTACAATTTACACATGAGAAAACTGAGGCTCAGAGAGGCTGTGACTCAAAATCACTCTGTTGATAAGTACTTTAGGCAGGATTTTGACCCAGGTGGCAAATCCTCTAAACTCTCAGTGACTCTGAGACTTAAAATTACTGACAAGTTGCTGGTGGGCATTGGTGGAAGGAGTTGCCACATGAGAATTTCCCAAGAAAATGGGAGAAATCCCGAGTCCAGGACAAAAATATGCATACAGCATCACTTGGAGCTTGAAATCGATCCAATTTTATCAGTACTAGGGTCAGAAAGGTGGCAGAATGGGCTAATTCAGGGATAGCAGACCTAAGGGAACCTGAGGTCTCAGCAGTATGGAGCTGGAGGGGTGTAGGGACAGGCTTCCAGGTGGTAATTATATATTTTAACAATGAAGAGAAAGGATGAACCCCTGAGGCTTTTTCTAAACTAAAAAAAAAAAAAAGATATATACTATCTTTGAAACAAAGCTCCAAGTTTATTATAGAAAACATTAAATGGCCCTCATTGCTGTTGTTTTACTCAGGTGACCAGGAAGTTATGTCAACAATCTAAACCTTGTCCATTAATAGGAAAACTAAGTGTGAGGCCCACTGAAAGAGAGCAGCAGTTGCCCTAAGCACAATTTAACCTTGTCGACCGTTGTAGGGGTCCCTTTACCGTTACCCTCTCCTCAGGCATATGCAGTTGTCACCACAACCTTTTCTCCCTCCTCCCTTTTTCTCAGTTAGTTCTAGTCTGATCTATTTTCCTCTGAGGGAGCATATTCCTTTGCAAAGATCAGTATAGCCAGTCCGTGTATATTGTTTATTTATGTCAGGGGTTCTTAACCTGAGGTCCACAGACCCTAAGGCATCCATGATTTAAAAAAAAAATAATTGTATTTCAACATATTTGCTTTACTTTGTAATCTGATGTGCTTTTATGCATTTAAAACCATTCATTTGACAAAGGATTCTTAGACTTCACCAGATGGCCAAGGGGATCCATGACAAGGAAAAGGTTAAGAACCTCTGATCTATATTGTTCTTAAAGATTAAGATTCTTTATAAATAGCAAGGGAAGACAGTTACAATAAATAGTTTATCATTTGCCTCTGAGATATCACACTCACATTTGTCTAGACATCAACCTTCTCTAGCAATATAAAGCGACACTGTCTTGTTGCTTGTGGTCTTTGGAATTGCTTTGATATATTTCTATTGAAAATCTCTTCTGTGCCCAGTGGAGGCTGAGTTTCCCCTAAACCTGTCTTAACACTAAAATTCTCTCCTCCTGTAATTTTTGGGGCTTATGATCACAATTCATTCTCAGTACAATACCAATACCCTCTTAGTACCTTTTAAGGGAACAGTGACAAAGAGTGGAAAGAGCGCTGCCTTGAGAGTCATGAGACCTGGGTTCAAATCCTGCCTTTGACTTGTATTACTTTTGTGACATTGAGTAAATGATTTAACCTCTCTGGGTCTCACTTTCCTCCTCTGTAAAATGAGAGGATTGGACTAGATGATCTCAGAGGTCCCATTGAGCTGTAGATATATGATCTTTTAATCCTGTGAGCTGCGTGTAGATTTGAAAGAGTACCCTAGCACTGTGACTCACCCTAAGTCCCACAGTTAGTAGGTAACAGAGTTTGGATTGGAACACAGGTATTCTGACCTCAGGTATGGTTCTCTTTCCACAATACTATACTGTACTCTCTACCCACCATGATTGCTGAGCTTTTGCTAATAATCCCTCGTCTGTCTCTTATGAAATTGGAGCGCTAAGCAAAATAATAATAGCAAATCTGGGTCATTAAATCCTTAGTCACCCTCCAGTTCATCAAGAAATATTCAGCAGATGTTGGCAGATTCCATCAATCGTATGAAAACCTATGGATTTCAACAGGTAAGAAAACTCTGAAAAGTCGTAAATCAAGGGGAAATGATTAATACCTGTCTCTAAAGTAATTTTTGCATATCCATACATTTGTCTCAGGTGAAATTGAAGCTAAAGGCAAAATCCGAAAATGATTCCAAAAAGCAACATTCAGCCTTATGAAACAAAATCCTACAATTGCCACCAGGAAGAAACCCATTTAAAATGTAGAGACATTAAAAAAAAAAAACAAAAAAACAACTAAACAAATAAAATGTAGAGACACACAAAGAGTAAAAATGAGAAATTAGAACAATGTTTTGTGCTTTAGGATTCCAGACTTTCAGAAAGCAGTTTGCAATCATGATTTCAAATAATGTAACAATGCAAGTTGATAATGTTGAGAGAGATAAAAACATTAACTACATTATGCTTAAGGGCAGTATAGCCCTTATATCATTGTCAAATGTATATGCTGGCTAAGAGGTATAGGAGATAGAACACCAGATTTAGAGTCAGACGGAAGACATGAGTTTGGATCTTACCTTGGACAAATAATAGCTATGTGACCCTAGGCAACTCACTTAACCTAAGTCTCAGTTTCTTCATTTGCAAAATGGGGAAGAGAAGGAAATAAGCATTTTCATAATGCCTACTATGTGCCAGAAACTATGCTAAGTGCTTTACAAATGTCATCTCATTTTATCCTCACAACAACCATTCAAGGTAGGTACTGTTATTATAACCTGTTTACAGTGGAGGAAATTTAGGCAAAATTAGATTTGAACTTAGATCTTCCTGACTCCAGGCGCAGTGCTCTATCAGCTGCAACAGCTAGCTGCTTCTAATGGAGATAATGACAACAAGTATCTTACAGGGTAGTTGTGACAATCAGATGAAATAATATATTTAAAGCATGTTGTAAACTCTTAGAGTAAAAACACTATTATATATTACCAAATGGCATAACATCTAATTCTAAAGGAAAGTCTAACTGATTTGCAAAAAGACTGATAATAACACAGTTAATTATAGGAGCTAGATAAATCCAAAAGAAAGATAAATAGGAATGAAAAGAGAGCTGAACAAATTGTTGTAAATGTTAAAGAGTGATAGCAATTTCTGAAAGAAAATGTTGAGTAATATACATATTTTTCAGCACCACATGTTACATTTAAAAATTAGTTTTGTGCTAGGGCATAAAGAAATCTTTAAAAAATCATTCCAAAATAGAAATGAAAAACACATCCTTTATAGACTGTGATATAAAGAAAAACTACTCAATAAAGGAAACATGAGCAAAAGATATGTATCTAAATGGAGACTAAGTGAAGACAGCCTGAATAATGAGTGAGCAAAGAAAACAATTAATAGAAGCAATAAATACTTTAGAGAATATTAACAATGGAACATCATGCCAAAACTACTAAAGTGGTCATTAGAGGAAAATATATATCCTTAAAACATATATTTACAAGAAAAAAAAAAGGATTAGTGAGCTGACAGTGAAATTTTTTTTGGCTAGGCAGTGGGGTTAAGTGACTTGTCTAAAGTCACACAGCAAGTAAGTGTTATGTGTCTGAGGCCAGATTTGAACTCAGGTCCTCCTGAATGGAGAGCCGGTACTCTATCCACTGCGCCACCTAGCTGCCCCTCATGAAAATTTTAAATATTGAAAAGAGACAAATCCCCAGTTCTAAGGACAAATGAAGAAAATTTCAAAATAAAGGAGACATCAACAAAATTGGAAAAAAATACCATAAAATTGTCAAACAAAACTAAGACCTGATGTTTTGAAAGACTAAGAAAATCAACAAACCATAATTAAAATTATTTTTATAAAAAAAAGGAGAAAACTATCTTACCAAAATAAAAAAAATTAACAAGGTGATTCACAACAGAGAGGAAATAAAAGATTATCAAAAACTACTATATATAATTATATACCATCAAGGTGACAACTTGGAAAAAATGAATATTTGTCAACAAAAACATAAAATACTTACATTATTAAAACAAGAAATAGATATCTTAAACAACCTAATGTCAACAAAAGAAATTCAGTAAACTATAAATGAAATACCAAAAGGGAAGAAAGGAAAAACCCTGGTCATGAGAGATTTATGAGTGAATGTTATCGAGCATTTAAAGAACAGTTAATACATGCGCTACAAATATTGTTATCAAAAATTGAGAAAGAAGGCACTTTACCAAACTCCATTTATAAGTTAAATGGAGTTCTGATTCCCAAACCAGGGAGCGACAAAACAGAGAAAGAGATAATAGCCCAATTTCACTAGTGAATATTGATGCAGAAATTTTAAATAAAATCATAGCAAAGAGACTATAGCAATATATATTTAAAAATCAGTATGGCCAAGTTAGGGATATAAAGATGATTCAATGTAATGAAAACAACATAATTTATCATATTAAAAAGCTGTGTGATTCTATCTGCATGTAGAAAAGAGGTTTCAACAACATACAGCACTCATTTACATCAAAAACCTAAATCATCGGCATGGAAGGGCCCTTTAACATCATCAAAAGTGTGTGCGTGTGTGTGTGTGTGTGTGTGTGTGTGTGTGTGTGTGTGGATGTGTGGCTAAGAATTACCATTATTTTTTTTTGCCTTAAAGAAATACTGGAACTTTCCTAGTTCAAAGAAGAGTAAAGCAAAGTTGTCCCCTTAGTTAGTTTTGAGACCTGACAAAGTTGTAAAAATGCTAGGTATAGCAAAAAGCAAAGAGAAAATGAATGAATGAAAAGGCATTTATTATTAAGTATTTAATATGTGCCAAGTACTGCCACAAGGACTGGGGGAATACTGCCCTCAAGAAATTTATATTCTCATAGGAAAAAGTGAACATATATTAGGAAATGGTGGCCACAAAGGGACATTTTGGTACTAAAAGTTACAGGGATAATGAGTAGGATCCAGGGGTACAGATTGACACTCCTTATCCAGGAACAATGACAAAGTTAAAGTTAAGGAGCAGAGTTGGAAAAAGTACATAGATGGCAGCAAGGAGGCTGGCAAGGTTGTGTAAAAGATGACTAGAAAGCATGGAGTGAGAAATTATAGGCACAGACATCAGCAAAGAGGAGACCAATGAATTCCAGTTTGCAGATGGCATGATTATTTACATAGAAAAACTCAGAGAACAGCAGAGAAATTAGTTTCAATGAAGTATCTAGATACAAAATAAATCCATTAAGAAGCATCAGCATTTCTCTACAGTACTAACAGAAATCAGGAAGAGATTCTTGTAACAGAAATTCCTTTCAAAATAAGTAGATTACATAAAATATCTGAGAGTTAAAATACAGAAAATGTAATTACAAACCACTGCTTAAATAAAGACTTCAGCAATTGAAGAGTTACTCATTGCTGTGGTTGAGTCATGCCAATATAATAAAAAGATGGTACTCTCTAAATTAATAGGCACATTTAGTCTGGATGTCAGGGAAAACTTCCTAAAAATTAAAACTATTCTCAAGAAGAGGTGAATTCTTCCTCTGTGGTGATCTTCAAGCAGACTCCAAATGCCCATTTGTCAGATTATGTTATAGCTGAGAATTTTGTTCATGTTAGACTGGAGTACATGACCACCAATGTCCCTTCCAGCTCTCAAATTCTGTATTTCTATGATATATAGATTTAATATTGTACCATTCAAACTCTCAAAGGAATAATTTATAAATCTAGACAACATAATTGCAAAATTCATTTGGAGGAATAAGAGGGTTAGAATCTTAAGGGAAATAGGAAAATTAAAGTAGGAATTAGGGAGGAATAGCATTTCTAGACATCAAACTGTATTATAAAGTAGTAATCATCAAAATTATTTCCTGTAGGTTAAAAAATAGAAATTAGGTCAGTGAGTAGACTAGACCAGATACGCAAGACCTAGAATCAATCTAATGTAGTACAGCACCATTCAATAAACCCAAGGACATAAACTACTAGGCAAATTGGAAAGCAGTTTGACAAAAAATAGATTTAAGCCAGCATCTTGCAACATTTATCACAACAACTTTTTTTTTCTTTTGGCTAAGCAGTAGGGTTAAGTGACTTGCCCAGGGTCACACAGCTAATAAGTGTTATGTGTCTGAGGCCAGATTTGAACTCAGGTTCTCCTGAATCCAGGGCCAGTGCTCTATCCACTGCGCCACCTAGCTGCCCCCCACAGTAACTTTTAAATGGATTTGTAACTTAAATAAGAAAGGCCACATAATAAAAAGAATTTAGAGACTGAAAAGGAGTAAATTTCACAACTGTTTTTAGAGAGGCTTAATCTTAGCCAAATAAGGAATAGAGGGGATCACCAAAGACAAAAGTAGACCATTTCAGCGTGATAAAATAAAAAAGCACTTGCATGAACAAAGTCAATGATGCTAGAATAAGAAAAGAAACGTTGGAGTAGGAAAAATTTGTATCCAATATCATTGAAAGAAGTCTGATTTCTAAATCATCTAGGGAATTAACATAAATATTTAAGGCCAAGAGTCAATAGGTAAATGGTCAAAGGATATGAACATTTTTCAAAAGAAGAATTGTAAACTAAAAATGACATTTGAAAACATGTTCCAAAACACTAATCATAAGAGAGATACAGGGGGCAGCTAGGTGGCACAATGGATAGAGCACCGGCCCTGAAGTCAGGAGGACCTGAGTTCAAATCCGGCCTCAGACATATAACACTTACTAGCTGTGTGACCTTGGGCAAGTCACTTAACCCCGATTGCCTCACTAAAAAAAAAAAAAGAAAAAGAAAAAAAATAAGAGAGATACAAATGAGAAAAACTATAGGGTTCTATCTCACACCCTGCAATTTGGCAAAGATGACCGAAAATAGGAATAGTCAATGTTGGAGGGGCTATGGAAAGACAGGCTTACTAATATAATGTTGGCTAGGCTATGAAGTATATTTGCCATTCTGGATCTTGTTTTATAGTTATGCAGAAAAAAAACCTATTAAACTCTTCCTATCCTCTAACCTGAGCCTATATCTCATAGAGGGGGGAAAAACAGAAGAAAATGGTCATATATGTGTGTATATACATATATATATAGGCATACATATATACTCATGTGTCTATATGTATATATACATATCTGCACATATATACCCACATGAGACCATTCATAGCAGTACTTTTTGTGGTTAGCAGAGAATTAGAAGCAAAGAGGGTGTCCTCCAATAGGAAACTTGCTAAACAAACTATGACATAAGAATGTAGTATAATTTTATTATGCAGCAAGAAATGATGAATAAGCAGAACCAAAAGAACAGTTCACACAATGACCACAACAACGTAAATGAAAAGGAAGCCAGACTTAGAGCAACTGAAAAATCATTAATATGATAAATGTAGAGAAATGCTGATGCTTCTTAATGGATTTATTTTGTATGATTTTGGAGCTGGTTCTGGAGAAGAGGACGAAACAGCTCCCTCCTCACAGTGCTTAGGTGGGAGTACTATGAGGGCAGAATGTTGTAAACATTTTAGATGTGATCACTATAGCAAGTATTTTTGCTTAATTATTTTTCTTTGTTACAAAGGAGATTTCAATTTGGGGTGGTTAGAAGGAATAGTTCAAAAAATGACTGGCATAAAAGAAGAGTAGGGATTATTCCATTTATTGTATTTGCATACCCACTATCTAGCACAGTGTCTGGAACATAGTAGGCATTTAACAGATGCTTATTGAAGGGTAAATTTTATTTTTAAAATTTATATATATATATATATATATATATACACATGTACATATATGTATATATACATACCCATATAAAGATATAGCAATAAATATGCAGATATGAACAGGAGCCAGTACTGAATAGATAAGGGGTCAAATGATGTGAACAGTTTTCAAAAGAAGAATTGTAACGTATAAAAAAAAGTGAAAAAAATATCCTCCAAATCACTACTATTAAGAGAAACGCAAATTAAAATAACTGAGAGTTTACCTCAGACTCATGAAGTTGGTAAAGATGATGAAAAGAGAAAAAGGCATTGTTGGAGGAAATGTCAAAAGATAGCCACACTAGAACACTGTTATTGAAACTGTGACTTTATTAGACCATTTGGGGGAAAAAATTGGAATTATGTGAGAAAAGTCCTTAAACCACTCATTGCCTTGACCTGGTACTGGGCATGTACCATAAGGAGGTCAAAGACAGAAACAAAAGGTGCAATATATAACAAATATTTATAGCCCTACTTTTTTGTGGTTAAAAAAATGCAAAGTGATTATTGATTAAGGAAGGGCTGAACAATTTGTGGTATGTGAATATAATCAGTAAAAAAAATTTAATGTGGAAAAACATGTATGAAATGATGAAGAGTAAAGTTTGCAGAACCAGGAAAGACACAATGACTATAATATAATATAAATTAAAAGAAGCCAAACTAAGTAATTGCATTGACCAATCTTGTTTCCAAAGAACAGATAATAAAAGCCTACTTCTCTCTGAAGAGAGGTGAGGTGCTATGTTTTCAGATGAAGCATGCAGTCCCTGTACTGCCTGATTTTGCTTAACTGTTTTTCTTTGATACAAGAAAAGACTAATGGGGAGAGGTGGAGAGACTATATTTGGAAATGACTGTGCTTAAAAATTTTTTTTAAAAATCAATAAAATTTAATTAAAAGGAAAAAAAACCCAAAGAGCTGGAGAAAGATCTCTAGCATGTTGATTAAGAGGATCAGTGGAAGGATATGGGCTAGAATCCCAGGAGTTAAGAAGATGTGTTTGGGTTGTGATTGCACAGTGGAGGAAGTTCTGTGTCACTGAGGTCACTGATTCACCCTTGTCTTAAAGTATGCCTCATCACTCAGGGTAGATCTAGCTTTGGTTTGCTGCAAATGTCCTGTGAAAAAGTTAAAAATTTGGAAAGAATTTAGAAAGGTTTATGGGCTCCATCTGATATCTATAATCAACATTATAATGGAGTTTGATAGGAGCAGCTAGGTGGTACAGTGGACAGAGCACCGGCCCTGAAGTCAGGAGGACCTGAGTTCAAATCCGGCCTTAGACACATAACACTTGTTAGCTGTGTGACCCTAGGCAAGTCACTTAACCCCATTGCCTAGCCAAAAACAAAAAACAGTAGAGTTTGATAGAATATCAACATATCCATATTAAATTGTATGTGGTAGCAAATATTTATACCAACATGCATCACTCATCATATAAAATAAATGTCATCCATTAAAGACATCTAACAGCATATTAAATACTCATACTGGTAATCCCTATCCTACAGCAGGACGGTTCTTGGAAAAAAATGAACCCTTATGCTAGCATGTGGATACAGGACTGGGAAAGAGTAAGAATTAGAGATGCAGTGGGAACTATATGTTCTGTTTTCTAATTCTTAGAGGTGCTTGAGCAAGCTTATTCAATAGATTTACCATTTGTTACTTAAACCTTGTTTTAGAATTTATACTCAGATTTTCCCCCTAATCTCCTTTTACTTCCAGCTCACACACAATGAATGTTAAGTATGGACTTCCTTAAGCACCTTGTAGCTCATTTGGTTAAACCAAGTGTTAGCAAGGCCACCATAGCTTCACCCCCTGTATGCCTTCATTAATGTTGTACTATCCAACTGGCTACACACTGCACCCTAATTGCCCCCATCTCCCAAGATGAAAAAAGCAAATGAATAGATTGGCACAAATCACCACCGGAATCACAACTAAACGTGTATACCCTACTGATTGTAGGTACATAGTCTATTCAAGGGCAGAATTCCTTTCTAAAGTAATTCATAGCGTTCTCTGACAGGCTCTGCCAGTTGTGGTTAGTTAGTGTGTTACCTCTGCGGGAGCCTCCAGTTCTGAGATGGCCATGCCCTGCAGCTCAGTAACTGGTTCCTGCTCTAGTAGGAAAAGAGTGAAAAGCTTCCCATCTAAAACAGATATTGTCCCAGTTTCTGGGTCTCTTGTCTGGGTGCATTATGACTATTTTTTACTGTTCTGATTGCCTTACCCAACTGTTCCATCTTAACACTTGGTTTCATGCATGACTCCTGACTTCTTCCTGTTGCCTTGTCGTGGTCTTATTTCTCCATCTTGACTGCCGGGTCCTGTGTACTCCCTAGATCTGGACTGTTTCTTTCATCTACTGATTATTCCCAGCCTTCACCTTGGTTCCTGTTCCTAGCTTATAGCACTGTGTCCTTAATCCATTACTTTAAATGGATTGATATGGCATTCTTAAAAAAGAAGGCACTTGCTATGTATGTAGGAAACATAAAGATAAATTATTGAAGATGGTGCTGAAAATCCATTTCCCAGAGGAATTAAAATGACTAAGTATTGTAGTTCTTTAAAGCCAACACCATAGTCAAAAACAAATCTCATCTATTCTTTATCTGTGAAGCTCATTTTATGTTATTTATATTTCACTAAGCAAAGTAAGACAGAATGAGAATATTTTAAAGAAGTTTCTGGAGCACATGAAGAATCATTTAGAATCTATTTGACAATCGATGGCATCTGTCGCTAGTTTGTCAAATAATCACATTCAAACCATGACCCTGTCTACAGCAGTATTCATATACCATCCACACCACACTGGCTGTTAGCCAAGTAATTATGAGATAATTCTCACATCAAAGATAGCAAATTATTATTAATTTTATCTTCTATTTAGCTTCCTTTGCTTTTGTGAGATAGTTTTGAGTTCCAAAAATCTTTAATCAGTGTATCAAAAGTACCCTATTTAAGCCAGAGTTAGATTGAAATTTCGTGTTCATGCTTCCCCCCATTATATCATGAAAAACTGAAAAGAAACATTCCACTTGTGATGTAGTGTTCTTGTCTTTTCAATGCAGAATCTCAGGTATTTGAATCAGTCACCAAGAATGAATATGTGAAGCATTTTGGGTTTTTTTTTAAAGCAGAAGAAAGAAACAATGAAGAACAAACCAGATGATGAGTTGAAACAAGAAGAAGAAGAGAGAACCAGACAGATTTATGAGAGTTGGAAAGAAACCCAAAAGTCGAACAAGGAAGAAAGAGAGTGGCAGGAGTCTTGTAAGTATATAGTAGTCTCTTCTCTTCTTTGCCAATTCATTCATTAAAATGATTGGATCTTAAACATTGAATAGGAAGGAGGCAGGAAGCATATAACTTAATGGGTGGTTTTAAAGAGATATGGCATCCTTCAAGACTCAGCTCAAATTCTGCATTTTGCAGACCTTTCCCAGCCCCGCCCCCCCCCAGCTGCCAGAGCCTTCCTATGCATACTTTCTATCTATTCTGTATGTATATTTTAGGTAGCTATTTGTTTACATGTTGTCTTACCCAATAGAGAATAAGCTTCTTGAGGGCAGGAGCTGGGATTTTGCCTTTCTTTGTATTTCCAGCGTTTAGCACAATACCTGGCACATAGTAGTTTCTTAGTAGAATCGTATTGACTGACTGATGGATGAAATTTTAATGCGGTGTTTTCTAATTGATAATTATAAAGAACTGGACACTAGAGTATAGTGTACTTGTTGGTCCACAACCAAGTGGAAACAAGGCCAATGCAGATGCCTGGTATACACTAAGCCCTGAAAGAATTAAGATTTGAAATGGAATTTGTTCTCAGTTTTTTGTAATGCCAGCCTGGACTCAGACATTGAAGTCATACTACCAGATTATCCTTTTATAGTACCTTAGCCAAGGATAAAGTTGGGAATTGAAGTATTTATAAAATAGAAAGTCCTGAATATTATTTGAATTCCATCACAGCAAGATTACAAAGAAAATCTTAGTATTTTAAGCACTGTAATGTATCAGTAATTGCATCAGTGTGGGTTTTTCTTTTGATGGTATGAAGTACAACTAATCCATACCTTACCCTGTTGTCCATGTGCCCCCATAAATCCTCAGGGTGAGAGGAAAGAAGAGAAAATACACCCAACATATTGGGGGCCTTCCTGGTTTCCTAACAGTGCTTGAGTACCAATGTGACATGCATCTGTCATTCCTCCCTTTCGATGCATGCATGACTCACCTCTCGTCCGTTTTTCCATTCTTGCATCCCTTTTGTGATATCTTTCACATCACTTCTTGTAACACAACTTATTTTTGACATAACTGATATTACATTTTAAGATCTAAACGATGGTCCATTTGTCATACAATGAAATCCCAGGATGGCTAAATAATTAGGACATCCCTGTGAGCCCCATCAGTGAAACAGGGATTTGACAAATGTACTCAAATGAAAACAAGTTCTTAAACCTCACATTAGGGTTAATCAATTTTTCAATAGGTAAAATAAGGTATTGATTATAAGATGTTATAAAGAATTACATATTTTTAATTTTTGTTTTTTATTAATTTATTTTTAACTTAAACACTAAAACTTAAATACACAATAAGAAAAAGAAACATTATAAACTTAAATACTCAAATACAAAATAAGAAAAGAAAAAAAAGGATTGCCATGCGCATAGCAGAACATGAGAGGATTCAAAATTTACAGCAGTAAATTTCCATTTCAAGAAAAGCCTATATAATAAATACACACATTGTGTCAGAACTATTCATTTTTCTTTGCTTCCTTGTAAGTTTTCTCTTATTCTCTGTTGTGTACTTTTTACTTTTTTCTTTTTTCCTCTTTCCCCCACCCCTTTCTCCCAAGAAAGCTACAATTAAGTGTGAACACACACATGTATGTATGTATGTATAGACATATACACACATAAATACATATACATACATACATATATATACACTTACATACACATGCATATATTTAGATATCTATAATTATACTCATATATAGACATATACATTCATATCCATCTATGTAGGACTATACTTATTTGTCTTCTGTTTCTCTGAGGATAACATCTTCCTTGATAAATCTAAGTCTTTCCATATTTTTCTAGGTCTACCAATTAATTTCCTACACCACAGCAATATTCCAACCTTATGCTGTCTAGTTATTGTAAAAAGTCTAAAAGAATATTGATTAATATGGCTGACATATAGTTTAGTTTCCCTATTTTTCTCTTTTGATTAAATGTATTTTAGCTTTAACTTTGTCTGAGATCATGATTACTACCCCTGCTTTTTTTTATAATAAATTCTACTCCTGATCCTTGTTTTATGGTTGTGTGTATCTCTTATTTCCTATCCCTCCTGCCTCCTCTACTTTACATCTTCCTGCTACCTTGCTCTCCTATTACTTAACCTACCCCTCTCCAAAGATCCCTCCCTTATCCTGTCTCACTGATCCCCATTCCCATTAGTCTAGATACACTCCTATACCCCCCTTATCCTATTTCCTCGCCCTCGTATTTCTTTGTACATTTGGAAGACTTTTATTCCCTTCTAAATGTATATATTGTGCTCTCTTTAACTCAGATCTGATGTGAGTAGGATTCTGTCTAAAAATCCCTCCCCTCTCCCTATCCCCTTAGGGGATTTCTTTCTGAATTTAGAAGATTTTTACACCCTTCTGATATATATGTATTGTTTCCTCTTTAACCCATTCCTGATGAGAGTAGGTTCCAGAACTACTAGCCCTCCTCCCCAGAATTATATTTTATAAAAGCAAAGGATTAAAGTGTCCTCAGGATTTTTTTGTATAAATCAGCCCACCTTGAAATTAGATCTGTTTAAGGAGAATTATTTTTCTTTACTGGTATGTATATGCTTTAGCACATAGGAACTTAATCAGACAAGTAGGCATTTATTAGGCACTTACAATATGCCAGGCATTGTGCTAAGTCCTTGGGATTCAAAGAAAGACAAAACCCATATAGACCCTGCCTTCAAGGAGTTCACAATCTAGCATGTAAACAGTTATATAATTAAAGATATGTACAGAGTAGAAGGAAGGTAATCTTAGATGGGGAGGCTAACTGGGAAAAGCCTTCTGCAAAAGGCTGTCTTAAAGGAAGGCCAGAATTCTAAGAGACGGAAGGGCAGAGGGAGTGGATTCCAGGTGCGAGAGACATGTGGAGTGTCCTGTGTGAGAAGCGGCAAATGGACCAGGTTAGCTGCATCACAGAGTGTGGGCAGAGGCATAAAGGGTAAGACAGGTACAGCTTTTTACTAGGGTATATCCATACTTCTTTCACCTTGTCCTGAGCCATGAGCCACTCGGAGACTCCTTGCTGCCTCCTGCTTGCCCATGACTCAGTGCTATATATCGCATCCTAAACATTTTTCATGAGGCATGAGACAATTACCTCTTACTCTTAAAATTCTAGGGTAACAATTATACCATGGAATAATTACACCGGTGGTGACTCATAACTCTTAACTCTGCCATCTTAACAGAGATGATGCAATATCTTCTCATTCTTTCCCCACTACTTAGAAGACTCCCCCAGAAACCACAAGACTACACATAAGCCTATTGCAGCAGAAGCTGGGCGGACTCTGCATGAGGAAGGAGTCCTGGCTGCCTATGGGTTGTTTTGTTTTGTTTTGTTTTTGTTTGTTTGTTTTTTGGTATTTTTATTTGGGGGATGGGGGAAGGCAATTGAGGTTAAGTGACTCGCCCAGGGTCACACAGCTAGTAAGTGTCTGAGGCTGGATTTGAACTCAGGTAGATGAGACTTCTTGACTCCAGGCCTGGTGCTCTATCTGCTGCACCATCTAGCTGCCCCTTGGCTGTCTATGTTTTCAGAGGGATTTTAAGAGGGAGGTTTGTCTCCCTAGAGGCTTAGGCAGTTATCATTCATTGGATGAGTTTCTTTGTCATGAAGCCTCATGCATTCATCTTGCTGCAGAGCTGCCCCAGCAAGTAGATGGATGAAGGCTCTTTCTCCTCTTTGTTTTCCTAGTGCGGAGATCCAAAGCAGCCGATGAGAAGAGGCGCTCTATTGCTAAACAAGCTAGAGACGACTACAGGCGGCTGTCCCTGGCTGCAAAGAAAGGGAAGGGCAATGATGGAACCCAGGGCTCCCAGGGTGCTGCACAGAAACCCAAAAGGCCTCCTCTTCCTCCAAAACCTCAACTGCTCAACCCAACAGGACCACCCAGAAAACCTCACAGGTAGGTCAGAAGTCACACAGAAGCGTGAGGACTGAAATTAGAAGGCAGACAAGACAGATTGAAGGACCAGTTGGGTCTTTCCCATGAAGAAGGCAAGGGTGGTCAGCTGTTAGTACAATAAATGTGTCTTCATTTGGTGCAGGGAAGTTCCAGTGAAGAAACTCCCTCCACCAAACAGATCATGACAACTTTACAACTCACAATCATAAAGAGTTGTCTGGGGCACTGAAGGTCTCTTGTCCAGTGTCTTGAAGCTTGTATGTGTCAGAAGTGGGACATATAAATGAGTTGTCCTGATGGTGAGAATGGCTGTATCCACTGTGCCACACTGCCTTTTTAAAATGAAATCACAGCCTGAGAAAAGGCTTAGAAAGTGAATTTCAGTCTTGTCTCTAGTGCCACCTCCTTGAGTAACCTTGGTGATTGCTTTTAATATGGTCATGATTAACCCGTGGTTACCTCGGGGCTGATATAGTTGGCAGAGAGGGTGTGGTCTTTGGTGTTCTCTCCCTTTTTACCTCCTGATCATTAATACCTCCCATCAAAGGGCAGTAGAGAAGCTACTTCATCTAAGAAGCATAGAGAGAAGAGAATTAGAGATAAGAAGTTCTCCATTTCACTGTTCATCAGTGGCTCCTAATGGAAAAAGCAAATTGATCCCAGGTTTTCATAATAAAATAGTGTATTTTCTATAATACTTCAAAGTTTACAAAAAAAACCCCACTTTCTTCATGACAACCCTTTGAGAGAGATAGTACAAGTATTATCATTCCCATTTTACAGATGAAGAAACTGAGGTTTAACAGATTTTCCTGTGGTCACACAGATTTCTTCATTCCAAATCCATTGCTCTTTCTACCTCTCTGCCTCCTCATAAGCCGAGGCAAAAATGATGACAGTAGAAATTCAGGAATGACTGTAAAAATTACTGAGTCCAGCTACCTCATTTTACAGAGTCATTGACTCTGAGAGTTGGAAGGGACCTCAGCCATCATCTTGTCTGATTCATTCCCAAAAGGAATCCGCAGTGATATATACCTGCCCAAGTAGTCAGTCCAGCGTGTGCTTGAAGACCCCAGAGAGGGAACCCACTACCTTTTGAGTCACTCCACTCCACTTGTGGATGGCTTTGATTGTTAGAAAGTCTTCTCTGGTAGCAAGCCTGACTTGACAGCTTTTACCCCTTATTCCTTCCGATAGGCTTCTGAGGGAGAACAGAACAAATCTAATCCTTTTCTAAATGACAGTCTTTCAAATAGCCGAAATTAACTGTCGAATCTGCCCTGCCCACCCCAGCACTCCCCCTTAGTCTCCTGAAATCTAAACATCCCCAGTTTCTTCATCTAATCCTAATGAGACTGCACTCCAGGTCAGATAAGGAAACTGAGGTTCAGAGACTGTGACTTCCTTAAAGTTACACAACTACTCAGAGGTGGTGATGGGAACAGACACTGAAAACAGATCTCTTGATTAGCAATCTAGTGTTACTATCACCTTGATGGCACAGTGGATAGAATGTTAGACTTGGAGTCAAGAAGACTGAATCTAAACCCTACTTCCTAGTTATGTGACCCTGGGCTAGTCACTTAATCACTGCCTCAGTTTCCTCTTCTGTAAAGTGAAGATAATAACAGCACCTATCTCCCAGGGTTATTGTGAGGATCAAACAAGCCAATATTTCACAGACCTTTAGGTGCTATATAAATGCTAGTGATGATGATAATGACAATGCCAGGCTACCTGTATTTACCACTGATATGAAATAAAAAGTGGATAGCAATTTCCCTCCACAGATATCGTGCAGTTAATTATTTGAAAATCCTCTTCTTGGCAATTATGATGTCTTTTTTCTGATGCTAGAAAAGTTTAGAGGGAGACAGGGAAAATTATAACTTGCTGTGGCCAGTGTCTGGTGGAAAATGACAAGTGACATCATAGTACAAATTTCCTATCCATCTTGTTTTTTGGCCATAAGATTTTTTCTGCTGATTGCTGATACTATTTTAGTGTATCACATTCTAGCTAGAGGGAGAGCAGAAGAGAGCAGTTAGAAATAAAAGGTCTGGGGAATGTGGTGAAAAGAATACTGGAGTCTAGAGAGTTGACTTATTAGTCAGTCAATCAATAAGCCTTTATTAAGCACCTACTATATCCCAGTCACTGTGCTAAGCTTCTCTTCCTGGCTCTGCCCCTGATTCACTATGTGAGTCACTTTGCTTCTCTGAAGTAGTTTCCTCATCTGTAAAAACTGGAAGACATGAAGAAAGTCTCCCTCTTTGTGGGCATTAAACATTCCTCCCTCCCTCCCTCTCTCTCTCTCTCTCTCTCTCTTGAAAAAACAAAACAAAACAAAGGAATTCTATAACTTAATGGAAGATAGTGAATGTGGCATCTCTATATTTCTGCTTTCCATATTGAAAAGCTCCAGTCAATAAGCATTTATTAAGCGCCTACTATGTGCCAGGTACCATGGTAAGTGCTGGGGATACAAAAAGAGGCAAAAAACAGTTCCTGCCGTTGGGCAGTTCACAGCCCAATGGAGGAAGCAACATGCAAACAACTATGTGTGAGCAAACTAACTACACGATAAATAGGAAATAATCAGTAGGGGGAAGGCGCTAGAATTAAGAGAGTTTGGGAAAGGCTTCCCAAAGAAGTAGAAGGTGGGATTTTAGCTGGGACGTGAAGAAAGCCAGGGAAGCCAGGAGGTAGACATGAGAAAGGAGAGCATTCCAGACATGGGGACAGCCAGGGAAAATGTCCATGGTGAGAAGAGGGAGGGTCTTGTTTAAGGGACATTAAGGAGAACAGTGTTACTGGACTGAAGAGTACATGGGGTGTGGGGTGTAAGAAGATTGTAAAGGTGGGAGGGGGCAGGACATAAAGGGCTTTGAATGCGAAAGGACTTTATATTTGATCCTGGAGGTGATAGGGAGACACTGAAGTTTATTGAGTAGGGAGGTAACCTACATGCTTAGCTCACTTTGAGAGCCAAGTGGAGGATGGTGTGGAATGGGGAGAGACTTGTGGCAGGCAGACCAACCAGTAGGCTAAATGCAAAGTATAACTGCCTGTGCCAGGGTAATGGCAGTATCATAGGAGAGAATGGGTCATATTTGAGAGATGCTACAAAGGTAAAACCCACAGGCCTTGGCAACAGATTTTGGATGAGGGGGGGTGAGAAAGTGAAGAGTCAAGGATGGCCCTTAGGTCATGAGCCTGGGGGTTGGGAGCATGGTGATGGGACAACCAGTTTGAGGTGTTTGATAGGCAGTTGAAGATTCAAGACTGGAGGTCAGCAGAGAGCCCCATATTAGAACATGGAGTTCAGTGATTGGCAGCTCAACTCTAACCACAATTTTCAGATTGCTTCATTTCACTAGAGGACCGCAGTTGGGGAAATCCCTTTTTTTTTTCATGGCCTGAGGAAATGAGGGACTAGGATATGGGTATTGTCTGCTTCCCTGCGAACATAATGCTGAGCAAAACAAGAACATATTGAACATTACTAGAGTGCCATGGCAGACACTTTTCCTGCCTCCAGTGTAGATTTTTCACTTAATTGGTACAAGTGTTGTCTACACATGACCTTTAATCCAGACCATACTGGGGAGATTGAGAAACGCATTTTGGAATGTATCCATTTCCAAAGTTACTTTCAGACCTTGGTATGTTATATATTGAAAACAGCAAGGATGGTGTCTTTTATTTTATTTTATTTTATTTTATTTTATACTTGGGGTAAGAGATTTAGAAGGGACTCTGAGGGCCATCTAGTTTAACTCCCCCATTTTATAGCTGAAGAAACTGATGCATAGAGAAGTTAAATGACTTGTCCAAGGTCATACAGATAGCAAATGTCGGAGCCAGATTTTTTTTAACCCAGGTTTTTCAACCCTAAATTGCCCTTTTCTCTGCAAAATTAATATTTTATTCATTTTTAAAAGTTTTATTATTATCCTTTGTTTTCACACCACAGTCATGTCCCCTTAAATATTTCTGATGGGAGCCTTCTTTATAACAAAGAGAAATATTTAAGCAAAGCCAACCCCTCCAGCAGCTATGTGTGACAGCATCTCTGTCCTTCCATATCTTTAGTACCCCATCTCTCTACTGAGAAGAATGAGGTGAGTTTCATAATCTTTTCTGTGGTACTGGGACTGTTCATTTCAGTTCATCAGATTTTGCCTGCCTCTTAGTGGTTATTGCTTATGTAACTGTAGTCTTCACATAGATTGTTATATTAGTTCTGCTTATTTCCTTCCTTAGTTCATCAATCAATCAAATGACAGTCATTTATTAAGCACCTACTGTGTGCCACAGATACTGGGCTGAGCACAGGAGATTCAAAGAAAAAGCAAAAACAAATCATGCTTTCTTGAAACTTACATTCTAATGGGGGAAGGCAAACATATACGTAGAAAAATGGATGCATATGTAAGAAATATAGGGAAGAAGGGAGGTTATCTTATAAGTGAAGGTGCTAACAGCTGAAGGGGCTGGAGAGACCTCCTGCAGAAGGTGGCATTGAGCTGAGTCTTAAAGGAAACCAGGGATTCTAAGAGCTGGAGGTGAGGAGGGAGAGGATTCCAGGCATGGGGGAACAGCCAGGACAAAGACATGGAGGTGGGAAGTAGTGTGTCATGTGTGACCAACAGCAAGTAGGCACCAGAAGCTCATGATCTTTCCTAAACTGACAGGTGACAAATTCTAGTACAAATACAGACTTTAAAATACCCTTCAGTAGATAAATAGTACTGGAATCAGACTATTATCATAGTCAGAAGTATTGCCCACAATCACCTGAAAATAAGACTGATTTGAGGGCACTGTTTGTAATAGATGTCACTATAGCAGTATGGAATGAAAAAATTTTTAAAGCTTCCATAAAAGTTTTCCAGAAACTTTCATATATGTCTTCTCATATGAATTCCACATATTTGTAATTCATTATGGTATAATAGTGTTACATTAATAAATGATAGTTTTTCAGACACTTC